TAAATATTTTTATGTTTTATCTTTCTCTTTACACCAGCTCTTTGAGTCCAGACGTTGATCCAGTTCTTGCTTTTCAACGAGAAGGATTTGGACGCCAGAGTATGTCAGAAAAACGCACAAAGCAATTTTCAGATGCCAGTCAATTGGATTTCGTTAAAACACGAAAATCAAAAAGCATGGATTTAGGTAGTGAGTACAATCTCCATGAATCTTTATCTAAATAAGGTTTAAATGCTTTCAGGAGAAAATTGATGGTCCCGAACACATGTCTGTTTACTTTGAGCAGTAGAGAAAATAAATGTGAAATGTGGTGATTTGGCAAAAATTAGTTTTCCTGAGTTTGAGATAACCATATCCCTCATACGTGGCATGTTTACATAATATGCAATATGTTAATATATATGTTTTCTTATGAGAAAGGAGACAAACACATGTGCATATCATGCTATATTCATGTATCTTTATTTTTAAAAAAATGAAATGTTTTCACACTTTGGCTATTTAAAACCAATTTCATCAAAATTGTATTTGGTTGGTTGTGGGATTTTTGAACTAGAAGAACAAATTTTGGAGAGAAACCATTATCTCAATCCATGTCTAGAATTTGGTGACTTCATGATATCTTCCTTTCATTGCTATTCTTTAAGGTTTATTTAGTGGAAACTCTTATATTTTGATAATGAAGGCATTTAATTGAAGTAATAATTTGAGAGACTATTTATTATAGAGACTATTTGAGAGCAAATGAGAGGAGGAACATAATCATAGTTGTTCAATCAAACACCAATCAGGTAGTATCTCTTTAAATTCAAATCCATCCGAAAAAAAAAAAATTGAAATAATTAATTATATCTGTAAACCGAATGACTTAAAACCTTTGTTAATCAACTGTAACTTATGCTGTTCTCCAGTGGCTGTTTGTAGTTCAAGACTAAAAGCATTAATTTATCATATGCATAAAAGAAAAATCTAGCGATGCATTGACTTGGCTAATGATGATATGCTAACATACAAATAACACACATGTCTGTGAAATGAAATGACTGGCATATTGCATGGAGACACTGCTTTTTTCCCCTCCCTCCCTCCTTTTTTTTGATTACGAATGTTTGCTTGATATTTCATATTATTTGCATGAAATGTTACCTAGGAATTGTCACCTAACTGCAAAGATCTGGGAATGGTTGAAGCATGCTGGATTCTGGGAACTAACTGGGCTAACCATTATACATTTACCTTTTAACAGTAGCTGACGAGACTAAACTCAATACAGTGGATGACCAGAAAGCAGGTAAGAATGGACAGTCAGACCGTTGCCATAGAAACCATGGCCCAAGGAGCTGACCACAATTATAGAGCTGCCAGTCATATTGCATGTAAACATAAATATTCTAGTCTTAACCCAGATGTTTTCATTGTGGGAAATCCAGTTGTATCAGAAAAGAAAA